CCGGAGTAGTTAGATAAGTTAGATAATGAATATTGAACATAATAACATTAACATTTGCGTTAGCAAAAATGTTATTGTTCAATATAAATTGTGATTTTTCACTCAAAAAAAAATAATAATAAATAAAAAAGAATAAAAAAAAAAGAAAAAGCTATCTGTCAAAATAATAATAATAATAAGCATTGTTAATTAAAGGCCAATTGATTCATAATATGAGATTAAAATGTTATTACCTCGGCTGAGACTTATTGTTGCAAGTATTGAAAGTTGTTTTGAAGCTCGTAGTAGCACACCAAGGTGCAGAAGTCCACACCGGGATTATTACTGTCACTTGTGCATGGAATGTCATTCCATGTTCCAGTACTTTGTGAACTAGGCGTGTCTAATAAAAAGGAAAAATCGGTATCGGATGTTAAAGAACCAAGGCCATTTTCTGACCATGTCTGTAAATGATTGAGTGGTTAATATATATTTATCTATTCGTTCAGATAATATTAAACATTATTTACATAATAAGATAATGGCAATGGACCGAAAGATAACAGTTGGGTAGCTGAAGCCACCTCAGGATCATCATGATACGGCTCAAATGGAAGGTCTTGGAAACCATTAACTGGGGTCGAGGAAAACTCACGTGGAGAACTAGCCATGGAAGAGGAATAGCCAGGTGGGATAGGAGACGGTGGAGTTGAAATATATGACGGGTCTTTTTCATAATCAAAAACCAGCGGACCGTCTGAAATTATGGAAATGAAGTTAACATTCTTTTGCGTAATTTATTTAAACAGTAAAAAGAAAAGAAAATTTACAGTCCGAGTTTGATGGTGAGACTTTGTCTCCTCCATCCTTTTGTATATTAAGGTTCCGTTTTTTAGGGTCAGGACCTCTTCTAGGTATAATTGCTTCGAAAACACATTCAGAACCGCGTTGTTGGCATTTGGCACACGGTTTCGGTCCGGTGTGTCCGGAACATTTTGTTTTCTTAACCTTGCATGCCTTACATGCTTGCGTTGCACGTATTCTTTCTTTTGCTTTTTGTTTTGGCATGCATGCAAATTAAATTTAAAAATATATATATATATCTTATTCAAAGAATTTTATTTATTATTTTTTTTTTTAAGAATCGACGGTATTCAAAAATTTAGCAATATTTTTATTTAAAAAAGGATGGAGGAGGAGGAGAGTATTAATTTTTTTTGTTTAAAATGTTGAGATGTCAGTATCTGAGACTAACACTAAGTTGTAACCAATACTAAAAGATGTGTATTTATAAATAATTTGAACAATTTACAGAATGAGGTCACCTAGAAAAGGGGACAGTTGCATATAGCGTCAAGAATAAAGCATTTAGGTTAACGGATAAATTAGATTGAGCTTAAAAAAGATGGCTGGCAAAAAAACACTGTCATGTGTGATAACAAAATAGAAACTCTAACTGCGAATGATATGAATTTCGATTATTTTGGTATATTCTATGCAGATTATCCTGGTATCTCGGAGTTTCGCAATTTGTGTGATCGCCGGAAAAACTAACAAAAGATCTGCGCACGTACGCACGTACATACTAGGGCTCTGAAAGTGTCAATAGGGTGCTATGCTCATGTCCAGTGTTATAAATTCAAAAAATTTTTATTGGCGCAAACACAACCAAAATGCACATAAAAAAGAAATCTATACGCGCTTTATATATTCGGAGAGCACTGATATATGCGCAAATTTAAATCTATGTG